GTCTTTTCTTATCACTGTTCTTATTATACAATTACATTATTTCATTATCTTTAGATATAACTGATGAGATAAAAAAAAAAGTTAGTTCAACCTCCCGGTCAATTGACTAAAAAGAATTTTCTTAATTATTTCCTTAACGAAAAACCTGAAGTGAAAATACCGCTTTGTCCTGCTAATTTTTCTCAAATATATATTAAGGGTCCAGGATGTATAACTGAGATACTTATTTTGTGCAAAATACAAAGGAGGGGGGGTTTACGGAGTTTTTTATAAAACTTATGAGACATTTAATTTACCCTCCTTCAGTTGGAATGAACGAAGATTCATTTCATGCGTTTTGGGACGGTATTATTAAAAATTCGATAGAAATTTGGAAAAATTTATTATTGGCTTGGAAACAATGAAATTCAATCGAAATACTAACAAAAGAATACAATTAAATTTAACAAATAGCTGATAGGAATATATGCCCAGACATGGTTATCCTAGTGAGAAATGTTGCTTTGTATGAGTCTAAACCTGTAAATATTAGGTCATCGGAAGTTAAGTCTGAAATGATTTGTGAATGTAATTTAAAAAGCTTTTCGCATAGGATTCGCGTTATGAAATCTCCTTCGGAATACTTGTGTTTCCATAAAGCGCTGAATCATATTATTATTAGGTCGTATATTGCCTACTATAGTAAATTTGTGCCTCGCAAGAGATACACCAGATTTTATTACATTGTTACGACCAAATGGAACTATTGTTTAGAAAATATTTTGAGAACAACTTTCGATTGACCATTTACGGAGAAATTTTTACGTTATATGTAAGTATGAACAAACTTCCCCGGTTATTGATACGTTCTAACAATTTATATAGCAAAATAATGGAATATGCCACTAAAAAAATAATATTTAATTATAAAATAAAAATATATTTTTTTTTATTAATTTTTTTTTTCTAATAGTTTAATTTGGAACCATTACGAAAACCAGGAAATCTCAATGAACTATTGAAAGCGTTGATTTGTATGCTAACTTGTCTCAAGGTAGAGAGAGTTTAGGTACGGATATATTTTTATATAAACAAATATTCATTCGGTATGTGTTCATGTTCAACTAGGGCATTAAACCAAAACCAATAATGCATAGTGGCCAAATATTGTTCATCATTATAAAGAATACAAAAAAATTCATTATCGATAACGCAACTTTAGGTTCTGATAATACAGCAATAGAGTCATCGTAAAAAGCTTTAAAAGAATTTTCCGAAACTGGAAAACATGATACGAAGGTTGATAAATGGGGTGGACATTTAATTAATTCATGTAATATCAGCGGATAAAATATACTCGTCTTGTTTATTTGTATTACAATTTAATGTGGTTTCCTTGAATTTATATAAAGATTTTATGATTAAAGCAAGCAATAATTATAATATAATAAATGCCCGAAATGCTTAAAATCGAATCGTTGCATAGCATATCCTGTTACTGACTTAATCATCCTGAAATCCCACCTTCTCGCAGGCTTAATATCAGAGAACAAGTAAAGTCATTTATTCATTATCCTCTGGTCTACGTACCGGTTATTTTTCATTTCTGAGCACAAACGACATGAGTGGATGGGACCGAGGGAATTTTTTAATTCATGTATGCTATATGTGTATGATGTATTGCTGCTATCAGATAGACGTATGAACCATAAGTGTGATTACTCAAAGGAATCATAGGCAAGCGAAGTACATAATCCTTATTATCTTCCTTCTCTTTTTTCAAGACTTCGGTAAAAGATAAAGCAGTGAATAAATTTACTTGGATCGATATGTTGGATCATTTCCTAAATACAAAGATCTATAGTGAGCAAATTACTTCATGACTAGCAACCTTTATGAGTTGTATTTATTCCGTCATTTGTGCGCAATAGCATACGTAAATTATTTCACGGCGGAGAGAGAACACATAAAAATAATAACGTATCGTGTAACAATAAACTCGCTGCCGATCCCATGTGAATTTTCGTCATTTTTATATAAAAACTTTTTTTGATAAAAAAAATTTTTGACTCGTGTTTTCCTTAATCTCAAAAATGACTAAAAGGAAAGTAAGTCAAACTAAATTAATCAATGTATTACGACTTGAACTAGATGCCGATGGATCACTTAGCAAAGAAAAACAATATATAAGACTTCCACCACCTGTTAGTCCTTATATATTACGATTTAACGTTCGTGCCGGTTCGATAGCTTCTCACAGGGGAATCCTTTACATTAACTATCCAATCGATGGGTAATTCAATTTCAATCATATAATTATACAATTTTCTTTTTATTTCTGAGGTCAATTGATTAATTTTATTCATTTTAATCTCGAATATAGCTCAGAATTCGATAGAGCCAAATTTCATTCAGTGAGGTATAATAAAAATTGCGTAAAGAAAAAATGGCTGGCGGTGACAAAAAATTGCATCTCAACAATTACATTGATTTTGGATTCTATTTTATCCGAATACTGTTAAATAAAAAATTTAAAATTTTGATATGATCACATTATTTTAGTTATAACATATTGGCTGATTGGAAAAGTTCCCCTTAATTTTATTAGTATTTCTGTATCAGTTATATAATGAACCCATCAGTTGAGCTTAAATATTAATTGCCCCAATTTTTTCAATCAGCCGATATGATACTTCCATAAAGTATTTTGATGTTTTGCTTCATAGGCTTAAATGTTAAAAAGTGATAACATAGTTGATAATTTTATAAGTTAAATAAATATTTTTTTTTTTTTTTAAAAAAAAAAAAAATTTTCTTTTTTCAGCCGCCATTTTTTTTCTTTTTATCATTTAATATTTTAATCAGTATTAATTCATTTCCTATGAATTACAATTTCTGATCTTCCAACTAAACTTTAATAATAGGTTTCCGATTGAATTCACGAGACCTCTCAATATCGACATAGTCATTCAAAGATCAGGTGCATATGAATTCTACGTGGAATATAAAGAATTAAATTCAAAGTTGACGAAATCATCTGAAAAAAGTTATTTTACGGTTGATCCGCTTTTACATGTCATTCCACGACATCGAATACTCTCATCCGAGCCAATTTCTTCGGAGCCAGCAGTTGCACTTCCACTCGATGGGATAGTTATTCAATCAGTTCTACCTAAACTCCTAGGAAAACTTTCTGAATGGGATCCTCACATTAAAGCTATATCCGATCTCGGATATAATATGATTCATTTTGTACCAATGCAAATGCGTGGTTTGTCTAATTCACCTTACTCCATATTTGATCAATTATCATTTTCGAATGATTTATTCGAACCTGAAGATCTTTTGAAGGATCCCAATGAAAGAATTGAAATTGTTCAAAACACAATAAAGAAAATTGAGCAAGAATATGGTATTCTCAGTGTGACTGATATTGTTTGGAATCATACTGCTTGTAATAGTAGCTGGCTTGAAGAACATCCCGAAGCTGGTATATTATAAATTGCACATTGATTTCTTTTATGATTATACCAATATTTCCAACCATCATTTTTAATTTTAATTTTAATTTTTAATTTCAGGATATAACTTGATTAATTCGCCTCATTTAACTCCTGCTTATGAACTTGATGCTTCATTACTTGAATTTTCTTCTAATCTTGCTAATTTGGGGTATCCAACATTGATTAAGAACGAGGAAGATTTGGATTTAATTGTCGACGGTATTAAAGAACACGTGATTAATAAACTTCGCTTGTGGGAATACTATGTCATAGATGTTAAAGAAGCTGTAAATGAGTTTAAGGAAGCATTAAACAAACCGTGGCCATCTTTTAGAGAAGACATTGATCTTGCTGCCCTATCTCTTAAAGAGCAAGCAAAATTGTTAAATGATAAGGCTCTTTATTACAAAGGAACCTTTGGTCATAGATTTTATAAAAAGTTAAACTGCGAGAGTTCAATTGCATTTGTTCTCAGTTTGATTAAATCCGAGAAAAATCATAAATGTGTCGATGGTATTATAGTGGATGATAAACCAACCAAAACTTATAAACTAGTTTCAAAGAAATTGTCAGATGATGATGTCAAGAAGATAGATAGATTTGTAAATTCGGTTGATGACAAGTCGAAAAAAAAGAATTCAAATGAAGTATCGATTGTCAACGTCACAGAAAAAAAGAATTCAAGTGAAGGATCGGATGTAAACGTT